TGCCCTGTCTCGTTATGGTTATCTGTGTCAGCTGTGTCCCCGTGTGTTCCCACTTCCCTCGTTAACCCTCTGTGTATTTCTGTCTGCATCTCCCTCAGTTTGGTGTTGCGTTCTCCCTCATGACTGTGTGCCCCGCCGTGTGGTTCCTCATAAGGCAGTTCCTTAGTACTTCCCAGTTTAGTTTCATGTTATTTTGTATCACTGTTATCTTTTGTCAGCAATAAAGCTGTATTTTGAGTTCAGTCCTGTTTTCCCGTGAGTTTGCGTTTGGGTCCTATTTCCTGCCTGCCACACAGCCAGTCCATGACAGGCTTTGTGTAAGAGGGAGAAGTCATACTGGCGGAGCTGAAAGCTGGACACCAGAAAGACCTGCGGAGTCTTGATGTCTAATCCTGTGAGTCCTGCGTCAGAGAACGAAAGAAACGTGCACGTGCGTGTCAGTGAGGGGCAGCCAATCAGCAGAAATTTGGCCTAAAGGAAGGAGATTAACAGAGGATGAACTAAAGCAGTCCAGCATCCTGCAGCCACACAGTCATAAAACTAACAGAGTTTAACTGTCCAACTGTGGCCTGAACTCTCCAACAACTGCATCACCATCATTAAATCCAGAAACTGGTCTCACTCATATAAATGATCTCATGTGACACTCACCTTGAATGCAGTCTTGTCTGATTTGTGAAAGAGTCTTCTCCACCTTAAACTCTCTCTGACTTCTTTCTTCAGCTCGTACATCGTTGTCAATCTTTGAGCGAACAAAGTAGAACTTCTTCTCCATCCTCTGAATCTCCTGAGTGAGTTTCACGTCATTTTCTCTGAAGCGAACGGCTGAGATGATGATGAAGAAGTCAAACTTCTCAAATCCAACAAGCTCCAGGTACTCTTCAGCTGGAAACTTGGTGGTGCCGATTCCAGGGAGATCCCAAAAAGTAACATTGGGATAGTTTGGATGGGGGTAAGATGTGACCTCTGAGGTGGTTTCTGTAACACCAGTAGGAGCAGCTCCCTCGTCACCATCGGACAGGTCTCTGAGAGCGTTAACAAAGGTGGATTTACCAGAGCCAGACTCTCCTGTGATGGCGATATTTAGTTGGGTGTTGTTGTCCTGCAGTGACTCCATGATCTTTCCAACATCTGATGGTCTGTCGGTGTGTTGCAGAGCTTTCTTCATTTCTCTTGTAACTGATTCACGCTCAGGCTGAAGACTCACGCTGGTCCCTGATGGCTGTAGAGAAGAAACTACCCGTGTTACATTTTTGTTTTCTACAAACAGTCTAATGTAAAGACTGAAGACTGTTTCAGTGAAACATGATTTAAACTTTGTGTTTTTCCTTATTTTATTAAAACTATAATTTAAATACTTTATTAATCACAATATTATTTCCTTTGATCTGACAGGTGATGGAAAATAGTTTTGTGGTCAGATTGTTTCGTTTTTGTGTGTTGATTGAACCACGCGCTTGTGAGTCCTCAACAGTTACACACAAATGATTGTACACATCGTACCTATTTGAGACAAACACGACATGTTCAGAGTAAGAACAGGTGAGATGATATCACAGTCTGTGAGGCCGACCGTGTGGAGATGAGAGAGGAGGCACAGACACACGG